CCCCAAAACCCCAAAACCCCTTAATCAAAAGAATAAATGTATTGGAAGGATAATTAATTGTAATATTTGAATTAAGTTTCAAACTATAGACTATAATAGTAAGTAAATGACAGACAAAAACTTAAAATCATTTGGATCTTTTGGAAAGCTAGGCAATGAAGCTTATCCAAAGGGAGGTAACACAATAGAAGAAGATATTGAAGAGAAATATGACTCAGATGCTTTTGATGAGGATTTTGAAAAGGGAGATGAGTAAGTAATCAAGTCTATTTGTTTCCCAGACATTTTATTTTTCTTGATTTTAAATTTTAAATTTTAGGGAGGCGCGAAAAAAGGAAGAACTTTAGAAACTTCATGATAAGAAGACCGTGAGAATATATGAAGAATAGAAATCAAAGGGTCTTATTAAAGCCTCTGATGAAAATGATAGGGAGGGGATCTTCAGATATGACACAGAATTAGATGATTTATGGTTTAGAGTCAGAAACTTTTTGAATGATCTCAAGGACAACGGAGAAAAGATTGACACGGGCTTGAGAGAAACTAAACCAAATAGAATAAAATTCCTAGAGTTTTGCGAGAGCTATAAGAACCCTAAGACTGGAATCCTTACTGAAGAATAATTGCTGAGCGTTTTCACTAAACTAAGGTTAAACCCATGCCCTTCTCAAACAGAATTAAGGAGGCTGTACAAATCTCTTGAAGCATTTGCAGGCCCAGACAATGAAAGAGAAATTAACTACAATAAAATACTTGAAGCTCCAACAATGAGAGAACATCAAAGTATCAATGGAATTTTCCCTAAAATTGTAATTATTTTCCTATTTTTACCACCCTTTTTAGAAAGCTAGAGGTCCAAGTAGACAATAAATTGAAGAATAAAAGAGAAAGGAAGAAGAGGAAAAGAAACTAAAGTTAAAATAAGAGTTAGAGGAAAAGAAAAAGAAGGAAATAGCTGACAAGAGAATAGAAACAGCAAAGAAAAGAGATGTTCTTGGAGGTGGTTACAAAAAGATGACTAAAGATGAGATTAAAATGAAGGAGAGAGAAGAATAATTGAAGAGAGAAGAGGAAAAGAGAGAACAACTCAGAAAATAATAAGAAGAAACTGAAAAGGTTAGGAAGGAGGCGGCTGAATACAGAAAATCTATTGATCAAATTAGAAGAAACACAGTCAGCTCAGGAGAAAACATCAGAAATTGGTTTAATCTTTTTGATGAAAATAATGATGACAAACTAGAGTATGATGAATTCAAAAGACTCCTGAAACACATCAATATAGCTGTGAGAGATTAAGATCTAATTAAGATTTTTGAATTGATGGACCTTTAGCAAACTGGAAAGATATCTTACCATGATTTCTGTGATGTAATTGAAAAGAATCAAATATTACCTATTGAGAAAATAGTCAGAAAAAGGATTAAAGATCGTGGCGAAATATTTGTTGAGGATGATGAGTTTGTTTAACTAAACCCCATCATTAGAACTTAATTTGCAGAGATTGGAGGTAGTGTCCATAAGGATATTGGAAGCGTTGATGGTCTTAGTGATATAATGAAAAGATCAAATGCTGACTTCGATAGACAACTTATCTAAGATGATGATAATATTCACTTGTACAATGATATTAAAGAACAACTAAGAGCTCAGTTCCATTCCTTTGATGACCTTTTGCAGAAAATGACTTAAAATGACAAAATTACCAGGAGCAATCATGTTACATTCAAAGACTTTGAAGATCTCATAAGAAGTCTACCAATGGGTCATAAATTCTCAACATAATAACTAAAAAATGTCTTTATGTCTTATGCTTAGGGCTCTAATGTTTTAGAAGCCTTTATTCCTATGATGGACTTCAAGGATAGATTCTTCCCTGGAATGCACTGGTAGAAAATCGCAATCAGCTCAAACACATCCAGTCTTCCAAGCCATTCAAATTTTGGTGAAAGTATGAGAAGCAGCTAGTTAGAATCTAGGAGTGAAAGTATGCATGTGGATAACATTCTTGCTGGCAAAAAGTTCGAAGATGTTTAACAAGAGAAATTGCTTCAGCAAGAATAGCTCATTAGAGATAAAGAACTTAAATATTAGAATAAGAGAGGAGGACTCGGAGTTATCAATGAAGACAAATTCGAAGTATAGAGCCAAAGCTCTTTACCTTCTAGAGCAATTGATGATATAATGAGCAGAGATATAGATCCAAGGAGAAATAAGAATTAACCAGGAGGATAATCAAGACTGTAATCTGTAAATTAAACTATGAATAAAGATCAATCATTGAGACAAGATGATCTTAAGAAATTCATTAGCAATCAAGATTACTTTAGACAAAGTGAAGCATTAACAAAGTAAATTCCAATAGAGGAAAGATTTAAATTAGATAGATCAATTGATCATCTTTTTCAGAAATTCTGCAAAAGTTTGATTGATGAGATCAGCACTGGACCTGTCAAGCGAGACATCAATAGCTATGTTATTCATTACGGGAAGGAGAGAAGCGGGTTCTTGAACTACTAAGAATTCAAAGAGATTTATATGACTCATGTACATTATAGCGACAATGATTTGAGCAAGCCTGTGCTTGAAGAAGGAAAATTAAAAGCACTGTTTTCAATATTCGACCGACAGTCACTTTCAAGAATTCCCCTCAATGACTTTGTGCAAATAGTTCTTTCACAGAACCCTCAAGGTTCTATTATTGACAGGCTGAAGAATAAAATCAAGAAAGGAGGAGACAGATTGTTAAATGTCCTAGCTGATGAATTCTAACAAGCTGATATTCCTTATGGATGCTAAGGAAAAATCCCAATCTCAAATTTTTAAACAATTCTCTTAGATTATGATATGCCATTGATGGAGCATGATCTGTAAGCATTAAGGAAGAATGCCATGACTTATAAAGACAGTGAAGCTAATGAGTTCATTCGTTATAAAGAACTGATGGAATTGACTAAGCCAAAGAAAGTTGTCTCTTAAGATATGGTTGAACTAAACAGACTAGTCACTAGAATTTAAGCAACATGGAGAGGATATATGCAAAGAAAGTTATACTTGAAAATGCAAAAATCTGACTTGAAAAATCTTGGAATTCAATTCGGTAGAGTTACCAGAGGAGTTAAATTTGATGGCGAAGAGTAAAAGACAAAGGGGAGATCAACCTCTAAGAAGATGACAGCTTAATAGAAGAAAGAAGAGTTAGAAAAAAAGAGGAAACAGGTAGCAGCTACTAATAAAGCGAAGAGGAAGAAGTCTGAAACTCTAGAGGCAAGAATGGGCTAAGCTGTTAAAGGAGCAAAAACTACACCTAATGATAAGCAGCTATAGATGCGACAAATCATTACAGATTTTATAAAGAATGAGTTTTTCGATGATATCATTCACAAAGCATAATGCTACGCTGAATCTCTAATTGTCGGAAGAGATATTTAGCAGAACTTTGAAAATAGACCAGTCACAAAATTCATATATCCTATGATTCAAGAGTTCTAATACAATGTAATGGGAGTCTAACCAAAAACTCTATAAACATTAAATGAATTAGGTCAAATCATGTATTTAGACTCAGAAAATCAACTTAATCAGTATGATATTCCAACAAATAAGTCACTCTAGCAAGTCAACCTTGGAACTAGACCACCACTTAAGCATTATGATATCATTGATCTAGTGTGTGATCAAACTAGCGGTAGGATATATACCTTGAATTCGAATTGGATTCTAGAAATTTGGAACATCGAGTAGAATGTAAGCTTGCCTTAGAAAAGACTTGCAGTCTGTACAAATGAAGGAAATAAAGATTATATTTCAGTGTATTACAAAAATAGTTTCAATAATGCAAAGCCAAGATTTTTGAGTTTATCGGATCATAACCAATAAATATTAGTAGTGAATACTTCATGTGTAGATGGAAGCATAGTATTTATTGATCCAATTTCATTCTCGGTTTTGAAAAAGATTTAACTTAGATACCAAGATTATGAGATTCCAAAAAGAATCAGAGAATCAATCAACTTTCTTAAGAATCTGTTTTAGAGTATTAATGACAGAACTGGAAAACAGACTATTGACATTTTTGCAGATATCCTAAACCCAACTACTCAATCATTTAAGGTCAGAGACTTTGCTAATAAGTTAGGATTCCTCGACTAAACTTAAAAGATGGAAGATTTATACAAAATGTGCGCGGTCTTGGATGAGGATAATAGCGGCTCAATATCATTAGATGAGTTCTTGCATTACTTCCAACACTTAAGCTAATCGAGTGAGTCGGAACATGACAAAAGAAAGCAAGAAGAAGAACTATTTGAGAATATTTGGCCTGAATGGGTTGCGAGAGAAAATAAAATTGAATATGCCAAGCAACTTCTTGTTAGAATGTATGACGCGATGAAGAAGACTCCAAACATTTCACCAGAATAAGCATTTCAAATTTTTGATCAAAAGGAAAAAGGGTTAATATCATTGGATAACTTTAAGAAAATTATCACTATGTTTTTCCAAGAAGCTAATTTAGATAATTTCGACTTAGACTTCATCTTGAGAATGACTCCGAAAACCGTAGATTAATAATACATGTATAGAGAATTTTGCAAGTTTTTAGATAAGAGGTTTGTTAGGACATTCAAAGCAAATACAAGTCAAACAATGAACTCCAAAGAGATTTCATTCTCAATTACAGATCAATTAAAAGACTCAAGCATCAAGGAACTTGATAGAGCCTTAAAGAAAGAAGCATCTTTAAACTATGCAATAAGAAAAAGTGCCGAGCTAAACATTGACTTGAGATCAATTTTCATGAAAAACGATGAAAGTGGGCTAAGTGTCATTCCAAGAGCGAGATTCTGGAGAATACTTGAGTCTTTACCCTTAGGATTAGTTACCTTTGAATTGGAGGAAATATTTGATAATGATCTAAACTATGACAACTATGGAAACGTAGACTATACCATAATTTTAAACAGTGATATCTTTGTAACTCTGGAAAGATAAAGGCTTAGAAAAATGACAAGGAAGAACGATTCATTAAATTTTGATGCTAGTTCCTTGAACCTAAACAATCATGATGTAGATAAACTAACTGATAATAGGAAAGTTGTAGTTGAGGATCTAATATACATTGATGACCTTGAGATTCTAGTCTACACGACTATAGCTCCAAGAACTTCAAACATTTTTGTAACCAACGCCAAAAAGTCATCAATGGAGGCAGATCCAACTTAACCAGAAGTAGTGAATCTGTCTAACATTCAAAATAAGCTACTTTAACAAGAAAAGCTTAACCAAACATAGCATTAGCAGTCTAATGATCTAATGGCTAATTACTTTTAATTGCTTGGCAGACTAAAAGGTCATAGAAATACAGATCCTCCAACACTCTACTACGTTGCTTAGAGTGGATGTCTCATATCAGGAGAGAAGCATCTTAATGAGGTAACTTACTAGCCTGGAAGAGATACATTGCCTAAAGTAAATGACCCAAAAATTCCACATTCTCACAAATTCCAAAAATCTTCCCAAACACCCTATGAGAATCACTCTGACAGAGAAAAGAATAGTATGTATAAGTCAGAAATAATCATTTGGAACTTATAAAGAGACATGATTGAGCTATTTATGACCAACCCACCTTGGAATGTGCCGATCTTCAAAAGATTCCAGGCGCATAATGCCTCAATTATCGATATCAATTATCTCCCAAAGTCTTAACTTTTAGTAAGTACTAGCACTGACTAAACTATCAGGTTCTTTGATCCAGTGACTACAAGCTACTAATTAACAGATCCAAATAACATTCCACATTCTCAACAAAGACCTGGATATTACAAGCCTTTGATAAATGAGAATACAAAAGCTAATGTAACTTTTAAAGAAGTTAAAAGAATTTATACTGGTCAAGATACTTCATGTTATTCACTCAGATGTCTTAATCTATAAAATATCACCCTCGACAACAATAACCCAGAATTCAAGTCCTGCATTGAATGGTTAGTCTGCCTCAAATTGGGTAGGCCTTCCTATTAGGGACGCAAAAACACCTAGATTGGTTTCATTTCAGGCTATGGAATTGAAAGAGTCAAGATTGAAGTTCCAGCTGTGCATCATGATGACATTATTCCTCCCTATGTGATGAAGGAGTGTGAAGATTTAGTCTCAACAAGAAGAAAGAGAATCATAACAGCATTCTAGCACAATCTTCCTCACAAAATAGAGAAGATTTACTCTTAAGTTCAGTTGCAAAATTCCTATATTTCTCACATTAGGAAGTTATTCCTGGAAGCAATTCTTAAGAGAAAAGACCTTAAGTATGTCAATCCAGAGCCGTTAAGGGAAATCTACAAAATTATACTCAAACTACCTAATAGAACAAAATTCGAAAACTTCCTAGCTATATCTGGCTGCTCGGATAAGCTCTCTGTTTCAGAGACTTTCTTCTATCTGTAAAAGTTCATGCAGATCCATCCTTTGAGAACAACTCAAATTGAATTTGAGAAGTCAATTGATGAATTCCAGAGAAAACACTCAAGAGAATTCTTACGAGGGACAAAGAGATGGCCAAAGGCAGCTGTATAGAAGTTCGCTAATCATGTTAAGAGCTTCGGCCTGAATATCTCATATCTTGAAAGAGACTCATTTTCTAGCAGCAAAAGCAAAACAAATGATTTCTGCACAAGAGAGAGATTTATTTCCTATTTCAATGAATAAGTGCAGCAAAACTAAAAGTTTTCAGACGAAGAGATAGATTCTGTTTTAAATGAACTTGATCCATTCTTCACTGGAATTATACAGATTCAACTAATTCAAAATTACTATAGAGAGGAAATTCACTTCTATAATCTTACAACCCTTAACAGACCAAAGTAGATCCTTGCAGATCTAAGAGGTAAAGTGTTCCCAAATAAGAAACTTGCCTTGCAGCAATCACTTGTTTCAGTTGATTCCTAAGGTGATGGTTATATTAATAAAGAGCAGTTTATTGAAGCATTTTTGAAAGCAGGAATCAAGGAAGACAGAGATGTCCTAGAATTCCTCTTTGAAGTAGTCGCTGAGAAATACAACACAGTGTAAAATGAAGGTGATGTTACTAACGATGACTTGAAAGTGCTATCAATCACCTATTTCATTAACAAGCTATTCAATAATACAGAGATTCATGAATTGACTGAAATAGACCAAACTCTCCAAAATATAAAAGCTGCTTTAATCTACAAAGGTTTAGACTTTAGCATTATTTTTGCAGAAAATTCTGCTGACTAAGTCAAAGGTAAGAGAGCAAGCTCCCCTTCAAAAGTTTTAGATAAAAGCAGTGCGGATGACACAATGCTTTTGCAGAAGAAAATAAAAGAAACAGCAATTGATTTAACATAGCATTACACTAGATTCGCTCAATAGCTAGTGGCTTAAGAATTCTGTGCCAGAGTTGAGCAATTAGAATCAAGATCTGTATCTAGAGATTAAATTAGGAGACTTGCTAACTTCTTAGCTCTCAATCAGAAAAACTAGAGTGTAATCTACCTAAACTCTTGGATTCATCACCTAAGAAGAGTTTAGACTGCATTCCATTCTCCAAACAAAGCTATTCTGCCTGTTATCTGCTCAAAACTACTCAGGAATGAAAACGTGTTCAGATCTTATGTTGACTCGACTGCAGAATTAAAAGGAAGAAGAGATGAAGAAAAATATATCGAGATAGCTGATTTGAGACAAGTTTTGAATAAATTTGGAGTCAACTATATCAATCAGGACATTTTCCTCAATGAGTTTACAAAGAATGACAAAGTTCATATTGAAGACATTATAACAAGAATGAAGAACTGCGTCTAGCAAACTTATAACATGGCAACGAGCACTCTAAATAGATCATTAGATGATAGCAATCATAGTTAGATTGATGAAGTTGAAACAATTAGAGATCTCAGAAAAACAGACTATTTTGATAAGGTATAAATGAGACTCAAAAATTTACATGGAAAAGTCTTACTCTCTGATTTTATTGAGAGATTCAAATAGTTTGATCCATCTGGAACTGGAAGAATTAAAATATACCATTTCATCAATGTTCTTAAGCATAATTACCCTGATATATTTGACCCAGATACTTTAATTGGCCTCTAATTTGAACTGGAATCAATAAACACTGATGATTGTGTGGATTATGATGAATTTGTAAGGATATTTATGGAAAGAAGAGCAGAGAAGAATGCCTTTGGGAATCCTAATAGCGTAGATATTTATGGAGAGTACATGCAGGAAATCAAGCTTGACAAGAAATCTACTTATTAGATTCAAGATTTCGAAGACCTCGTCACTAGAATTTCTACAAACTTGAAATAGTAAGGGCTTGATGATGTAATGAAGCTTTTTAACATATTCGCTAAAAATGGTGCAATAACATATGATGACATGAGAAAATTATTCTAAATGGTAGGGTTCGTTATGACAGATGTAGAATTCAAGCTACTTATTAATTTTGCTGATGAGAATAGAGATGGTTTTATTAGCGCCATGGAATTCGCTAACCAAGTAGTCTTTGCAAAAGAATTATCACCTCAATTCGATATCAACAAGTGGATAGTTGCATCCAGATCACTAATGGGAAGATACTACATTTTAGACAGATTGAGTGGTAACATTGATATATTAAAGGACTCTTTGATATCTGAATATGGAAAAGATGGATCGCATTCAGGTGTATTGACAGGAGAGTAGTTCTAAGATTTAGTAAGAGATGCTAAACTCTAGTTCTCTGAATTTGAGATTGATGTTTTGACTTCTTATGCAATCAAAGGTAGTAAAAGAGTAACATCTGGATAGTAGTCAGATAGTCATCATATAATCAATGTCAGATCTGATTTGATTCAATTCTTCAGCCTGATGAAGTCACTTGAACCTGTTGTTAAACATATGAGAAAAGAAGATGATGAACAAAGAAAAAAATAAGCTGAGTACGATATGTTTGAAGATGAGATGACTAAGTTTAGAAGAGAACTTGATAAAAGAGAAAAGGAGTAGCAAGAGATGATTAGTTAAAAGATGGATCCACTTCAAAAGGCAAGAGAACAGCAACTTATCAACAAGATTATAGAAATATTTGTTGAAAGAGAAGTAACTTTCTTTGATTGCTTCTAACAACATTACGATCCATTGAATCCAGGAAAATCTATCATAACAATCAGTTAGTTTAAGAAATCAGTAAATAGCCTGAACTTGCCCTTGACAGTTTAAGAACATAGAATTCTTAGAAGAATTGCAGACCCTCAATAAATTGGAAAGGTTGATTTGCAAAAGTTTTGTCTTAAATTCGAAACTGAGGATTTAAGAATTAAAAGACTAAATGACATTTTGGAAAAGGTTGCTACAGTATTCTATCTTCAAAACTTTAACCTTAGAAGAGCATTTGCTTTGTTTGATAGAAATGGAGATGGAACTATTTCAAGAAGAGAATTCAGATAAGGATGGATAACTCTAAATTTAGGTCTCTCTTATGATGAAATTGATGATCTAATGAAACTGGTTGATACTGATAGAAATGGACAAATTTCTTATGATGAATTTATTTCAAGGATGGACATCCATATACAGAAGAAATCTAAGCAAGCCTAAGAAATGGCTAAAGATATTATTTTCCATAAAATAAAAAGTCTCTTAGAAGTCAATTCAGATTCATTATACGAAATATTCTCTAACTATGACTATGATCATTCAGGAACTATCTAAGTGCATGATATAATTAGAGGTTTTAAAAAGCTTGGAATCTTGCATCCAGAACCACACATTAAGATTCTTCTTGAGGCAGGAGGTTAAAGAGAGACTGATGAAAGAATAGACTACGTCATATATTCTTAGAACCTATAATCTAAAATAGAAAAAATACTTGGAATTAGTCTGAAGAAAAATCATGAGATTCTTCAAAAAGTAACTGCTTTGATCAGTACAAGAAAACTAAGTACTTTTGAATTCTTTATAAATCTTGATGTGAATTTCAGTGGCAAGATTAGTAAAATTGAATTCAAAACAGGGCTTTAAGCTTTTGGAATAAGCATTACAACTAGAGAATTCGATAACTTATGGAAGATGATCAAGAAACCAGTGAAAAAGTTAAATATTCAACAAAAGAAAGACTAAGATATACTCTCATCAAGAAGATCAAGAAGAAGTGGACAAGAAAGTCAAAGAGATTTAGATTCTATTGAGATTGATTGTCTTAGCTATTTCGAGCTGCTAAATGCTTTCATTGTTTCTGGATGCTTGAGATTCTAGAAATCTGTTGATAATACGAATAATCTAGTCAACAAATTTAGACAGTAACTAAAAAAGAAAAACATTTCAGTAGAAAAAGCATATAAATAGTATGACCCTGACGAGTAAGTTTCACAATATTTAAACAAATATAGTCACAAATTTGTCTTTAAGCATGATTTCATTAATGAATCATTGATGATGGGATTAGAGTTTAATGAAGATGAATTGGTCAAGATTTTCGATTATGTATGCTAAGTAGGAACAAAAGGCACAGATAGCAATGACCAACAAAAACAATAAATTGATAGAAAAGTTCAAAAGGCTACTACTCGATTCACATTCAAATAACTTCATGACGCCGTTCTAGTAAAGCGAGATGAAAACTGGATCGTAAATATCTTATATTATTAAAAATTATATATAGTTCCAATCATTCATTAAGATTCATGGAGTAGTATTGCAAAAGAACCTGAGCTACAAAAGATTATTTACTCAATGGAGAGAAAAAGGAACAAAGAGTTTACAAGGCAGACTTCAGGCAAAGGAATTGAAGGCTGGATTGAAAAAGTTGAGGGCTGGTCTTACCTAAGATGAAATAGAAAAACTGATCACTTCTATCTAGTTTGAAGGAAAAGATAATGCGATATCAGCAGTTGATTTTGAGAGAGTGGTTGTTTAGGGAGCTAAAAAGCTTGAACTAGAAAAGTCATATGAAAAATTAGTTATTCAAGAGTGGATTACCCACTTTAATTAGGCTCTCGATAAAGAAGCTATTCCAATTGAAAGAGTCTTCTAAGAGCATGATAGAGAATAGAAAGGCTCTCTGAGTTTTGAAGAGTTTGCCTTACTAAATGAATTTGTAGGCCTTTCTATACCTAAGAAAGAACTAAAACGTACTTTTGATATCATAGATAGGGGAAAGAATGGCAGAGTTAGACTAGAGGAAGTTAAATCAATATCAAGTCTCCTTGAAAATGAAGAGGAACATGTTGATGATGAGGATGAGAAGAATGCCAAACTTGAAGGGGAAGAACTGAAAACAAGATAAGAACTTGATGACTTATATGAAGTTGTTAAAGATAAACTTGAGAAGAAAAATACTACTTTTGAATCTATCATATTCGATGTTCTCAAATATATGCCAAACTAATTTGCAAATAACAAAGGTATCCAGTAGATCTTCGAAAAACTATAAATAATATTAACTCAACATGAAGCCGAAAAAGTGCTAAATGATGTTAGAAAATCTCAAGCAGGAAGGTATGAATGCTCATTTAAAGAATTCCTGGACTTCATGACGAGGAAAAGAATTAATGTCGCTTTCTTTGACAAAGGATTTGTAGACCCTCTTATAGCCTAATGCTGCTAAAATTTGAACAAAATGGTGAGTGTTTATGAAATGACTATAGAGAAAGTTTTTGACATTTTCGATAAAGAGAGAGATGGAAAGATATCAAAGGATATATTCATTAAATGCATGTAAGGAATGAGTCTTGGAATCTCAATAGAAGATCTTATTGAATTCTTCAATTATCTAGATGATAAAAATGATAATGTTATAACAAAACTACAATTTGTAGATGGAATATCATTTGTGATTAATAAAATTGGAGGTGGTTCAAAGCTTGAATAAGCACTAAATTCTGGAGTTTAACAAACCAAAAAAGGTTCATCGATAAAGCAATAAGTCTTTAACATTCTAAAGAAAATAACTGATGCAATACAAGCTAAAAGATACTCAATGAGGTAGGTACTTTCTATCTTTGATTCAGCGAGAACTGGGTTCATTTCAAGAGCAGAGTTTGCTTCAACTCTCAAGACTCTAGAAGGAGGAGTTTAGCTTGATGAGGCTAGACTATTGATGAACTTCTTTGATGATAAAAACACTGGAAAATTAAGTGTGATTGAATTTGCTAAAGCCCTTCAGGAGATAATGAATAATTAGACTGGGGGAGGCATATATGCTTACATGTAAATTCAACCAATTTTATAAAGAGTTATCAATGAACTTGCTATTGATTGTGATAAATTCTTTGATGAGGTTGCTGAAATTAATGAATTACTTCTTGAAGATGAATAAAGATAAATGCATTTGACTGAAGGCATGCAATCAAGAATGAAAAAATAGTCGAGAGGCTAATTAGTTGGGTTAAGTAAACGACTATTTTTCTAGCATTTGCAAAAATATGGAGTGCAACTTGATGAAGATGAAAAAACTCTCTTGAACACAGTGTTCAGTCTAAATGATTGCATCTATAAGTTTGATTATGAGAAGTTAGATCAAGCTTTTGAAGGAGTCTAATAATAACTTTATGCTCATGGTAACTTAAATTTTACTCTATATTGATTTAGAAACATTCTACACTGTTGAGTGGCAAAGAAGAATCTTCAAAAAGATTGGAGAGTATCTGAGGAAAAATAATCTCACCATTCACAAGTGCTTCAACTTGATAGATGAAGATAATTCCCAGACCATTTCTATGGAAGAACTCAAAAATGCTATTATTAGATTCTAATTAGATATAAATGACAAAGAATTGAAAGTCTTCCTTCAAAGATTAGATGAAGAGGGCAAAGGATATATTACTCAGCAATAATTTGTGAAGCAATTTTGGAGTGCATATACCTATGAGGATGTATTTAGTTAAGATGACAATAAGGCAAATAATCCTAACAAGTAGCACTCTGGAGCTAAAGTTGATGGCTTGAGTGAGAGAATAAAGAGAGTAAGAATGTTTAATGCTATTCAAAAGAAAATCAAGCTATAATATAATTCTCAGACTGCATTTAAACAGCTTGATAAGGGAATTGGATTCCTGACGCTTAAGGATTTCCAAAATTACCTGCCTTTGAATTTCGATATCACCCTTAAGAGAGATGAGATTTTAAGACTCTTTAAAGAGATAGACAGAGATAAAGATGGACTAGTTAAGTATAAAGAATTCGAGCAATTTTATAACGAAGATTATGATATGAGACAAAAAGAGATTGAAAAAGAGAAATCTGCTATGAATTATTAATACGAGATTTTTGATCATCTAATGAAGGTCCTACACTAAAAATCATTGTCATTGGCAGAAGTCTTTGATTAAATTGATACTAACTAGAATGGATATATTGAATGTGATGAATTCCAAAATTTATTAGAGAGACTTGGATTTACTATATCTGAGGCATAAGTTTATGAACTAATGAGATAAATGGATGAAAATTTTGATGGAAGAATATCATACAAGGAACTTAGAGATCATGTGAAAAGTCTTGGATTTAATATGGGACTCGAGAATAACTATTAGTAAATCTAAAATTAAAGTCTAGTTAAAAAAGTCGAACCATTTGTCTGGAGAGATAAAGGACTAGAGTTAGTAATCAGAACACTGAAGTCCTACCTGAATAAAAAACCGTTTGAAGATTATTTCAAGAAATTCGATGGTGATCATGATAATCATCTAACGCCACAAGAATTCAGGTATTCATTGTTATCAGTAAAAGATGTTTAACTAAAGAAGTTTTAAATAGAAAGAATTCTGCATATTCTTATTGATGAGAAGAAATCACTTCCAGTTATATCAATTAGCAAACTATCAAAATTCCTTAGAAATTACTAGTACATAGACAAAGATAGTATTCAAAAGGGAAATAACACCACAGCTATTTTGATTGATGAAGACTTATTCGTTTATATAGTGGAAAAGTACGATGGCTTTTCAAGATTAGTAGAAATAATCTCATAATTTGAGGAGAAATCATCATATCTCTAAAGACATGTATTTGAGATTAATCTAAGAGGACTCAACATGCTTTCGAACTAAAAGACTGTTGAGAAGCTGCATAAGAAGTCAGTCAAGCTTAATGAGCTGTTTGAATCATCATTAGTTCTACTAGCAGGAGAAGCAAATAGACTTATGAAGGAGGAAGCCTAATTATGCGTCTTAGATCCAACCTATAACATTAATACTATTACTAATGATTAGAATGCTGGAGTTCTAGCCAGTATTCAAGTACCAACAATAGAAAATTCTGCTTTTGATATTGATTTCGCTACTCTCAATTTCCTACCAAGTGGAGCCTAAAGATATTATGGATTAATGAGTGATAGCTCAAGGAAAAAAGTAGAAGTTCTCATATTCCCTAATGATGATCTAAATTACGTAAGCAGTGATGGTAAAACCTACAAGAAACATCTTTAACTTGAGCTTTAAGTCCACAGATATTTAATGGGACAACAATTTGAAGAAGATGAGGATATACTGGACCCTTCGAAAATGGATATATTCCCAAATGTAGGAAAATTCGAGAAAAAGATTGGTTTAGCTTCGAGTGACAAAGAGATATATGTTGTGAATGAACTGGTAGATGAAGATCAATGGATTTCATTGGAGGAATTCGTAGAGAGAAATGGTGGAATCTTGAACATTCCATTATTCTACCACACAGATGCACCTTTGTTTATCATAAGATATTGGGCAAAGAAGCTCTTACAAATTATTGAGAAGTTGCACGAAGTGAGCATTGTCTGCAGGTCTCTAGATCTAAAACAAGTATACATATCAAGAGATGGTCAAACAATGAAATTAGGACATGTACGAGGAGTGGGAAAAGTAAACAACCTTGGATATTTGAAAGAATGTCCTGATATTTACTTAACTCTTGAAAATAATAGTAATGATGAAAGATATAACGGTGGTCAGAGCTCGACTATATCTCCTGGTCATGGAGGAGGTATCTCATCATCCAAGAAGACTGAGGCTTAGAAGTCTTTCTCAAATAGGGCTCTAGATAATCCATTTATTTCACCTGAGATTCTATTTTCTAAATTTACTGATCATACCTCTGCTTTGGATGTATGGTCTTTTGGAATGATCATGTATTGCGTACTTTTAGGCCAAAAGCCAGTTAGCTTTTACAATATTTATAGAACATGGTATAAGAGTAAGCATGGCCATGATATTGAGCTTGCTACGCTACCTTTCATTCCTCCTTCTCAGACCAACTTCTTATACGATCCTTTCTCAGTTGATTTCGATAATCCTTTCAATATGGAGGAATCTGAACTAAACAAAGATTTAGATTTACCAGGTTCTTTAATGGAAAAGAAAACTAGCCTTAATTTTGACAATGTTATGAAATGTATTAAAAACCTATCTTGCAGTAGTTTATTTGAGAGTGGTCAATCTAAGAAATTCTAATTCAAAAACATTGCTTAGGAGATTAAAGAAAATAGCAATCCAAATATGCTGTCAGATTAAGCTCCTAGATTCCCAGGTATGTCTCATTCTAATCAAGAAGTTAGAAGGAAAGTATTCTAAGCTTTCGCTAAATACGAAGTACTTGAGAGAAAGAATGAGCTAGGTTTGATTCTTGACCTAATCGCAAGTTGTTTAGATATTGATCCTAAAAAGAGACCAACTATCTAAGGAATGCTGAAATCTCCACTATTTTAACTGGATACCTATGAGATGACAAACGCTATCAGATTCTCACAAAACGTAATCCTCTATAGATCTCCTCAAAGTAGCGTAAGTCTAAGAATAACAGCCCCACTAAGATCTATATGTGCAGTGGCTATAAAAAATCCATTTAACCTTTTCAACTTGGAGGGCGAAATTATGAAATTGTTCTTGTAAACTGAAGAATGTATAGGTCACTTATCCTCCTTACCTATCGATTAAATAAATTCAGTATTGACTGAAAATGAGAAGCGTAAAAGTCTAATAAATAGCAATATAAAATCTCAATTCAAGGGTAAAGATTACTCTTAGCTTAGAGTTTCACCAAACAGCCCATTAGCTGCTTAAATTATCGAAGATAGAGTTATTGATATGCTTATTTTCTTGACTTTAAGATACACAAAATCTTTCAATGAGTGGAAGAGTAAAAGACTTCAGGAGATAGGAAAAGAAACTTAGAGTATAATTAAAAATCAACAAAGTGCAGCCACTCTATCAATGTCAAGCAAAAGAAAGTCAGTTAAATTTGAAGGAGATCAATATACTGATAGAGCTTCAACATTTTAAGCAATGAACTAGTCAAATTTATAAAAGAAGTAGACAGAAAGATTGCAAAACAATATTCTTCAAAAGATGGTTACACTATTGAGGACTTTAGTCTATGAAATGCATTCTTATAGCACACCAATGTCTCCATTTGTTAAAGAAGTGTTGGAGTACATCGTTAAATTCTATGCTGGTGAAGAACATGAGCTAGGCTCGGACTTCGTTCTAAGAAAGACATCTGGCATCGATAGTACATTGAAGGACTATTTAAGAGGTAGATCCTTCTTCAGAAGAGAAAATGAATTAAATGATAAATTTAAATCTGACAACACAGATAAGTAATGGCATACTGAATAGAAAAATAAGACATTCCTAGACAAATCAAATCATTGGAGTACTGAAATTCATCAAGAAGCTTTAAAGATCTACAAAGACGCAATTACAGAATCTGGAATGGGACAAAGTTGCTATCCAGTTATTAATGACTACATAACGAATATTACTAACTCATTTGAGCCATCTAAAGTATTTTCACACTCAATGAATCAGTTGTGCCTGAGTTTCTTGATTCCTATGAATAGAACTGCACTCTATTACAATGAATTAATCCCTCTTACTGAGTGCTTGGCAAGACTGTACAGCCCTGAATTAGAGAAAGCAGGCAAAAGATGTGCACTTGCAGTGATAAGATCAGTGTTCCAAACAGGCAGCTCTGATAAGATCAAGGCTTGTCTTGATATGAGAGTCCCCAAACACATTATTCATTTCCTCCAAGATCATGACAGCGAAGTAAGACATGAATGCTTGCTTATATTCTATGAAATTTCTAAAGGACTGTAGGATGATGACTTTGAAATACTTGGTAAAAGTGCAGCAAATCTTAAACTTGAGTTGTCAAAGAGAGTCCATAGAAGAACAGCTTTTGATCATCATAAGACGATAAGTTTGGTATCTTAGCAAGAAGAGATCATCAAGAATGAGGAAGAGAAAACAAATTCTAAGAAAAAGAGAGGCCAAAGTCAGTAATCTTAAGCAGATATTATGTCAAATTATATCAAGAGAACAACTGCTTTGATAGAAAAAAATGAGAACGAAAAGTATATCAATTTTGCTTTAGACTTGCCGAATCTGAATTTCTTATCCAATAAAAGGTTCCTAAGAGAAATGGCTATTTGCTTTGAATCACCTGTTTTTATTGCACCACTCATTAGATTATTGAAAAGTCAAACAGAGAGCTTCACTAACAAAGAAACTATTATCAAGATTCTATTTAACCTTTTCTGTGGAAATGAAAAGGTTATGATTGCAATAAATTCTCCTGCTTGTGACACCTACATGTCACTTTTAAGAATGCTAATGCAAAACTCAAAGATTCAATCTGCTAAAATTTCAACTACAGGATTATCTGCCTAAATGAGGCAATAGCTTATCCTTTAAGATAAAGTAGTTGATCTATTTAAGTACATGTTTGAACAAAGAAGACCAACAATCATTAGAGATCTAAGCTGCATCGGAGCATCCTCAACTTTACTAAAAGAGCAGTCACTATTCATTCCAAAGCTAATAAATCTTCCAGAGATTGTATCATTTGTGGATGAATTCAATCAAATGTAAGAACTAACACCGGAGATGATCATCATTGAGGACTATATATCAGTGCTAAAAGACTTAAGATGTTGGATCAAGCATTTCTATAATGAGAGTCAAATACCTGAACTAACTAGAATTAAAGCACTACAAAGATGCATTAATCTCATTATCAGAGTTATCAGAATTGTGTGGGAAGATTTCCCCTATTCCCCTGAAAAGAGAGCAGACTACCTGATATTAATTAAAGCAGGACTCTAGCTGATTGATTGGCTCTGTGTTCGAGGACAAGAGCATTTTATATTTAATGAATAAAACGGAAAATATAATCTTGATTTCATAATTGACAGATGTAATTACAGCTTAACCGCATTTAGACATCCACAGGGCACTCATGAAGTCCCACTTGAGGATCTAGCACACAACTCTAAGATCAATAAAGAAATCCAGAAGCAAAGAAAATACGATATGTTCCCATTCACTGAAATCGGTGCTATTCTTTAAAATATATTGTATTAACTAGTAAGAAAGAACTCACCCTTCACTAACTAACTTCTCTCGGAAGCTGATTTCGGATTTGTCTTTGGAGAGTAGCTAATTCTTGAATACGATTTCATTAGACACTGTATTGATAATAAGATTGAGAGTATGGTATTGATTGATACCTATGTGAAGAAAAATGAAATCAGATTAAACACATTCGAATATCTTTTAACTAATGACGAGCATACCCTGAAGCATCAGTTCATTAAGTCTAACTTTATTGAGAAGCTATTTTCAGATTACATCCAAGATTTTAGAGAATTCAACATTCAATTCTCTAAAATTGACTTAGAATTCTTAGCTTTTAGAAAAACCTTCCCCATTAGACTAGAAGGAATTTCAATCATCAACACAACTTTAATGCAGAAATAGAGAGCACCAGCTGTTTTCACAGAAGTAATAATGTATGCAAGAAGACATTTCTTGATAAGAAATGAGGTCACTTTGCTGAGACAAGGTAGGATTTCGACTGAGGAATCAACATCACTGCTTCTATTCAGCATCATTTTGGAAAGTAATGAAGATGACTTGATATACGCAATGATGCAAGAAGGAGCTCATAAAACAATCAAAGATATGATGAAAGAGTATCCAAGCTTAAATAAGAAATTCCCAATTTTGGCTTCTTTCACTAACAAATTCTGATTCAAATTTAAACAATAATAATTATAATAATTTAATTGATAAACTTAATTTAATAATTCAAATTTTCATTACAATTACTTTTAAATTCCTTCAATTTTGAATTATGGGGTTTTGGGGTTTTGGGGTTTTGGGG